TCAGAAAGAGAAGGATTTCACTTTTAATTATACACTGTGGTGAAGTGGGAGCTTGAGGGGATGTGTTTGGGTGATACCCAGTCCCCATTTGGAAAATTCTGCCCGCAATCTTAAGGAATAAAAAGCTCATTAAAAGAAAACAGAAAAATGTGAAGCATAAATGCTGGGCTCAAGAGAGCTGTGCAGGCATTTCAGATCCACACCCCACTGTTCAGTGGGTCTGGTGTTTACAAATGCAAACAGAGAGGGTGCTCCCTGAGGTGAAGCTGGTTTCCAGTGTGCAGACCAGGTCCCATGGGCACACTGGATTTTAGAGGCCATCAAACATCACTGCTGGGCTACAGCTCCCTGCACCCACAGTATTTAACCCTCTTTCCTCTTCTCCACAAGATCCTGGGTCCCTCCTCATTCCTCATCTCTGCCATCTGTAATGCTTAAGACTCCTAGAAAGCAGCACCTCCCACGTCTCTAACTTGAGCCTGAATTTGCATCCATGGAGCCCTTCATGCCCCTGGCCCCACCATTGCAGAGCCTCCCTCCATCACTCGGCCAAGACAAGATCCAGTTTCCCTCTCACTGCCCTGGGCTGTGCAGAGCAAAGGAGGCAGCTTGGCTGCTGCCAGCAGTAATCTGTGCCACTCTGCCAGCCCAGTGCTGGGCACATTGCCACTGGCCAAGAGCCCACCTGGGCTCCTCATGGGCTGCCCGGCTGCTCCTGGGGAGGCCATGCAGCTCCCCTGCCCCTCAGCAGCTGCAGCAACAGGGCACTCCCCTCACACACCACATGGTGCACAGATTTTGTCCAACTTTCTCTCTCTGGTGCTGCCTGATCACCACCCCAGAGAGGGCTGGGCAAGGCCAGGAGTTTGTATTGGATACTGATAATCCTTCTGTCAGGGGTAGGGGAAAAAATCAGGAAAAAAAATGTGGATATATTACCTTGAAGGGAGGGATGCTAAGAAATTAAAGTAATTTCATCATCTAATGCTGACAAATCCAAAAGCTTTCCAGTAGAAAATAGCCCTGCTGAGACAGTATAAACTTATGTTTCTCCCCACTCTTGGCTTGTTGTAAATAAGAGTTCCAAAAAATGAGTTTTTTTTTTTTTCTGATCCTGTTAATGTACCTTACTAATTCTGCAGCAGGTATCAGCCCATGATACCTGGATTTTAGAAGGAGAATGCATTGAAGGATAGATGCTATTTAATGAACAAAGCATCTTGCTTTCAGGTAAATATCTGCAGTAATATAAGAGGAAGGAACTGATCCATGAGCAGACCTTTCTGTGCTTGCTGAAGCCTTTCCTCAGACAATTGTAGCTTCTTAGCATGGAGGATTTGGAAGCTGCTTTAGAAATGGTGCTTGGCTGATATCAAGTCAGTATTTACATCTCTGAGACCAGGGACCTCAGTGCAAGTGCTGACAGACAGACAGACTGACAGCACCCATGGGCTCTGACTCGCACTTCAGAAGATGTGCTCTGCTGTCAGGCAAGAGCAGAGATCTTTGACCAGGCTAAAAAAAAGAAATGCAGGGAAACAAAAAGCTTTCGTTTGAGTGTTGAAGCAGAGTCAGTAAGAAAGCCAAACCTGTAGTTCAAACCCTCCAAAAGATAACTTATAAAAAATTTTTTATCAAACATGTTTTATAGCAAAAAAAAAAAAAAAAAAAAAAAATTGGATTTGTTATCTGAGTTTGCTTAAAGCAAACCAAATCTCCTGCTGTAGGATGGTTCCTGTTCCTTGGCATTCAGTACATTATTCCAGGGACGTAGCTTTGCCTGACGACAGTGTTTCAGTGTTCAGGTAGCAAGATGCCAAGCATACATAATGCTTTGAAGCTGCAGAAGCAGGGCTGTGCAGAAATGTGCTCTGCAGAGCCCTGCTGCACAGGCTGAGAGGTGTTTGGTTCCAAATGGTGGCAAACATGCAGGGGTGATTGCAGTGACCTTCATTCACCTCTGGGCACACAGGTAACCATGAAGGCTTGTGTCAGTGAGTGGTGAACTCTTTGTCCCTGCGGGGAGCACCACAGACACTGTGCCTTGGGGCAGCCTTGGGAAAGGAGCTGGGCATGAGCCCTCCCTGGCATGGTGTGCCTCCTTCATGAGCTGGTCCAAGCAGATGATGTGAATTGCCAACTCAAAATTTTCACCTGTCTTTTCTTAGGGCAAGGCAGCTACTCCCTCTCTAAGACAAGCAGTCAGTTAATGCAGGCTTTTAAGTGCAGCCCTAGCTTTTAATATCCTGTCTTGGAAACTACCTTGGGAATATGTAAAAGGTCCCAAATATTTATTTCTTTATGACAAGGTGTTTTTTATTTTAAAGAGCAAGGAGGCCTTTGTGCATGAAAAATTTGCTCAGCAACTACCTATACCAGCCAGTTTTGAGGGAGTTATGTTCTGTGTAAAGCCACAGGACAAGTGGGCGTGGATTATCCTACAGCTGCCTTGTTTTTGTGAAAGCAAGTGGTATTAACCCATGGTCAACACTGTTGAATATGCTGGCAGTGATTTTACACCAAGTGCTGCTTTGCATCTCCCTCTGACTTAGTCATAACTGACTGCTGGGCTTCTATTTTATATGGCTCACTGATTATGTAGAAAAGCAGTTTTGGTGTTCCTCCACAGCTTCTGATGAATATCTCACACCACTGGATCTCTGGCTATTGCCTGCACTGAAGAAGTACCTGAGCAGTTCTGCTTCATAAGCTCTAATAGTTCAAATAGGATGCTATGGATTTGATTTTAACCAGAACAAGGTCCGCAAGAAAATAGAGCTGGAAGAAATCTTGGCATGCTTTATGGTCCACCTTCCTCCTCCAAAACAGAACTGTCTCTGCCTGACAAAATGCTGGCAATTATTTCAAGACAAAAGATCATTTGGGACCAGTTGATTACTCAATAAGGTAATCAGATCTGGTCTGGATATGCCATCATCCACATGTATTTTGTGAGTACAGCTGAAGCACTTGTGTGTCACTGTACTATAGCACAGACATTGTCATGAAGTGAGCTTTTAAGTCCTTACTAGAGCATCACTGCTCTAGTCAGAGCTATTGTCCTGTGGGTGAGAAGGGTGGAGGCATTCTGCAAGTGCTGCTTGATGCCCAGTGTGGCTGCTTTGGTGACTGGTGAGATGCTGCTCTCCTCCTCCTCCCTCTTCCTAAGGCACAGGGGTCACTTTGCTGTTGTATTTAGAGAAGGGTGTCCTATGGAGGTTAAGATATTCCAGACAGCATTTTAGAACTCTTTATGCAAACGTTATTTCCTCGGCTAGTGCTGTTGACATGTGAATATAAATGTCCCACGGGTGTCTCTGAATGTTGTCACTGAAATGCTGATGGTCAGACATGGTGTGACCCTCACATCCAGGAGGTGCCAGCAGCATCTGCTCTAATGGCAGCAGAACCATGAGTTTACACTATTAGGCAGGGTCTGTGTCAAATGGAGCCTGGAAACAAGATCAATTTTCAGCTCTGCTGTGTCTATCTCACCTTGGCTCCCATTTACATTCTGTTCTTGTCCCTTCCCTTGTAAGATGAGAGTAATAATGCAAGTCAGCCATTAAAGGCTGGTGCCAGGGGTAAGCAAATGAAATATATCAAACATCAAATGTAAAGCCACAAGAAAAAACTCCGACAAAGGCTGTGAATTTATCACTGCTCTGCATTGCTCAGATAACACTGGTAAAAGTGGTGTTTGGTTCTCAGACATATTCTCATGTAAGTTAGATTCCCCATATTGCATATGGATTTATTTTCCATTTATCTGCTTGTCTGGGTTGTGGCCCATCAATGTTCAGCTGAGTAGCACAAGAGCACTCTGCAGATAACCTTCCTACACCAGAGATCAACCTGTTTTCAAAGGGACTGCAGACTGAAATCTAAGACAAAACACATGATTGATATTCCATGGTTTGAAGAGTCAAACTAATGCCTTATGATTCATCCATGATTTATAAGTAAGTGCTTGTGCTGATACAAGGATGGGATCACAGGATGAGTCACGTGTGATTTAACGTGTCAGCAAAGTTGGGGCGTGTGTCGCTCAGCAGAGCTTCCTGCTGAGCCCCTGGGTTCACTGCCTCAGCTGTGTCCCCAGGCAGGCTCCCCAGACTCCTGAGGAAGAGCCAAGAGGGGCCACAAGGGCTCCCTTCTGCCATGCAACCTGTCCTTTCTGAAGTCTAGGTGGGCCTGATGCAAAGGGTAGAGTCACAGTGTCATGTTTTCCAGGGGTTTGTTGTCGCAATTTCTCTTTTTCAACAAACAATTGCTATGGCAACCTTACTGCTGCTCAAGTCTTCTCACTTCCTATTTATTCTAAAACACAGCTACAAACTGTGACTGCTTCAAACACTTACGTATTAAAGCCATTAAAGTCTTCAGATGAGAAAGAGTGGGCAGGGGAATGTGATCAGCCCAGAGAATAATATGACCCTTCAAGACCTCATGTCTATACAGATTTTGTATCTGAAGTTTAGTCAGGAAATTGAAGTTTTCATTGGTTTCATTGTGGTTTCTGATCAAATAGGGAAGGCTTTTCAGTGAGCTGACACCTGATGATGCAGCTCAGGGAGGAACAATGCTGAGCATTTGGCTTTCCTCTTGGATGCTATGCTGTGTCCAGGGCTGGGGGAGATGGATCTGCTAAAATGAAAATTTTATCAGAAGGCAGTTTTGTAAACTTTTTCAAGACTCGAGATGTTCATTTGTCATCTGAGGGGATGTGTAAGAGGAAGGCAAAGAGACAAAAAAATATCCCAAACAACCCAAAAATCCAGGACAAAGCATGACCTCATCTCCCATTCCCAGCAGGTTTTGCCACCACACACACCCACTCCCTGGCACCTGCACGTCCACCCAACTACTGAGCTCTAATGAGACACTTTCACCCTCCCTTTATCTTTTAAGGATTTACAGTGCTTGCTTTGATTCTTGCTTTTTGTTTTCTGCAGCCTGTTTTTGTAAGACCAATATATTTGGAAATTTGAAGGAAAGATTCACTACCAGGATCTTCTGCTAAAGGTCCTTGGAGCTCTTGAATGGGCTCTGTTTTAGGGTGCCTGTTCCCATCAGGATGTGCGGAAATGTGTCTGCTTGCTTTCTAAATCCCTGGGATTAATTTTCTACATGAAATAACAGTTTCTTATTGCAGAGAGAGTAACTACAGTGTTGCTGAGAGAAAGGTTTGTGTCTGGTTTGTGCTCAGAGTGCTCCTGCCCTACTTCATTGCCTGGTACAATCGAAGTGAAGGCACTGAGAAGGGACAGCTCAGACCAGCTTCTGAGCTGATATTGACTGAAAACTCATCCCTTCCATATGGGCTGCCTACAAATGTCTAGATCTAAAATCTATTCCTGGGCCTGCTACACAGTATGAATTTGGGGAAAGTAACTTGACTTGTCTGTGCCTGACTGTGCAAGTGTGCAAAGTGAGGATAAGAGGAATTACTTCTTGGGGTTTATAAGATTTGGTGTAATCATGCTTTCAGATCTGATTAACAGGATAGAGTTCAAGCATTTATTGTTTTCTTTGGCTCAGGTGTCTCCTTGTAAAGAGTCCCAGTGGTCATGCTCTAAAAGTGTTTGTCTGTGAGGTTTGGTACAAACCCTTAGAAGGAAACCAGAAGCCATGGAAGGAAAATGCAGACAACTGCCTGGGGAGGGAAGAGGCTTTCCTGTAGAGGTGAGTCAGTTCCAGAGGAGAAGGGAGGCTGTGTCCAAAAATAACAGTGCAGAAAACAGGCACACACCACTGCCCTGACATCCTCCACTTGAGGAGGATGTTGGGTTTCATCTGTAACTTTTTTCGCTTTGCAGATTTCGCATCTGCACTGAATGCCATCAGATTTGTGTCTATATTCTTGGAGTCCATGTTAACCTGGCCTTTGGAAAATACTCTGGCCATATTCTTCTCTTGCTCCAGAGGCACTTCAAAGTGACCCCAAAGAGGAATTTATGTCCAATTTATATTCAGTTTCCTTATATATTTCAAAGGCTGGGGTTGATTTACATGCATTAGTGTTCATATTCTTGTAGCTCTTACTAATCACTCTCTTGTGTTCAGGCTGATTGTACCAAGCTCAGGATATTCTGCACTGTTACTCTGTGGATAATGCTGGTAACAAGCTTCTGTTCTTCAGTGTTCTGCAGTGGCACTGCTGCTGAAGAGCTTCTTCATCCTCTGTGACTCTGTAAGTATTTCTGGCCATAACAGAAATATCCTGAATACTTAACCCCATGCATGTTTAAAGCAAAATCTAAATTATCTGGTGTGATTTTTAACTAGAGAAAAAAAAGATCACTTTATAATACAAATTCTTTTTGTAGAACAGGATAACAAGACCTTCACATTCAAAAGTTGGCAGGTAAATTACCTTGCATGAAATGAAGTCTAGTAATACCCATGGCTGCCACTTACATGGGAGTCTGGAAGCAGAAGTGAGACAGAAATTATCTCCCCTGCAGAGAACAGGCCCTGGCATTTTCCATACTTTTGTCTGTCTCAGGAAGGGAGTCAGGAAGGAAGAAGATCTTCAGACAAGAAAAAGTAGTGCCTGTCTCATCTGCAAGATGCCTAAGCCCCCCATGCATCTGCTGGCCTGCAGGTAGCTGGCTGGCCAGCCTCCCCAGGGCCCAGGGTACATGTCAGCCTCCCCCAGGGCCCAGGGTACATGCCAGCCTCCCCCAGCCTCCCCCAGGGCCCAGGGTACATGCCAGCCTCCCCCAGGGCCCAGGGTGCATGCCAGCCTCCCCCAGCCTCCCCCAGGGCCCAGGGTACATGCCAGCCTCCCCCAGGGTCCAGGAGGATCTCCCAGGGTATAAGGTATAACAGCTTCATGTGCCACAGCAGTGTGGCACAGCTCATGCAAATGGCAGGGTACATGAGCCAGGGCCATGACATTTTGGGCCAGACTTGAGCCTGGTGTGTCCCATGTGCTATGGTGAAGGAAGGCATGAGGGGCAGGAAGAGCTTCTATTTCAGCTGGCTATAAGTAATTAGACTCAGGAGAGAACAGAACCTACTCCAGGTATTCTCAGCATTCCTCCTGGTCCTGGCTCGTGTCAGAGTGATACAGCAGGAGCATCACTGTACCATTCAGCAGCTCTCTGGTCATTTCAGTTACAGGCCAGATTTTCTACATCAGGACCAAATTTAAAGCAATTGCATCTGCTTTTGTACTTAAAAAACTGGTTGAAAGAAGTCCTTTTTCTCCTTTACCATACAGTGCTGGTTAGTTCTGTTTGTAGGAACACGGCACTGACGCCTCATTTATCAAACCACAGAAGTCTGTTCAGCCCAGCCTGCTGCTTTTACATTGTGCAGCTGCTTATGGGCAGCTATTTCTCACTAATGCCTCAGCACAAGGATTGCCCAGACTATAGCAAATGCCCTCTCAGAGAAAGACTCTATCAGATGATGCTGCCATCACAGTAGACGTAAATATGCTTCATAAGACATCCAAATTTTAGAAGCAGTCGAGGAATATATGCACTAAATATTTCCAAGCATTTGTTGAGTGAAAATCTGAGTGTTTTGAGCTTTGCTGCAGATTATTCTATTAGCACCCCATTTTTATAACATATTTATCAACTGAGCACAGCTAATGACTAATGACTTCAATGGGAACAAGTGTTAGTTTTGACAAAACTAAGAGTTTAATGTTGAAACACAAGCTCTACCTGACTGAAAAGATAAGTGCAGCTCTCTCCCCAGGACCTCTTTGTGGACTGCATTATCTGTAGGCTTGTTTTCTTGACACCAATTTAATTTTTATTATGTTTATCTTCTCTATGCTTTAAGAGCACTGGCAGGAAGCTTTTCTCATTTAAAGACAGAAAAAAACCCCAAACTAGTGTGTTGTTACTGACTTAGTTAGATGCACAGGTATTTAATACACATCTCCAGACTTCTATCAGCTAATAATAACAGTAGATGAAAAGGCAGTACACCTAGAGAAAAAAAAAGCAGATTGTTCATGGAAATAAACTGTGTCAATGTGGTTCCACATTAATGAACAAAGAGGTGGATTTGTAGGAGCTGGAAGATGCAGGGCAATGGCACCAAAACACAGCCACTCACTCCAGTGCATCTGCTCTGAACCCAGTTGGTGCTGCACGCCTCAAGGTGTGGCTCCTCAGGGCAGCCCAGTGGCTGTGGAGCTGTGTTTAAATGCCAAAGCAGCTGCAGAAGAGGCTCACTTTTGTTGGCACAGATGAACTCTGCATGGAAAGGGCTGTGAGCACCCCACGGGCAGAGCAGACCCTGACGGTGGCTGCAAGGGGGCATGTGGGATGCAGAGAATGGGCAGGGATCTCGCTGCCACTCACCATCCCCTCCCACCCTCTCACAGTCAAATTCAATCCCATCTTCATACTCATAGGTGTTTTTTATTGCCCAGGGAGTCTTTTCAATCCCTGCCTGCTCTAACAGGCCAGAATCACTATTTCATTTTCAGTCTGAAGCCATTCCTGAGTACAGCAGCCCGTGTGCTCTGGCAGGACAACTGGTGGCACCAGCTGTGCCATCCCCAAGCTGAATCATCATCCTTATCCCTAATGTTTGCTGCACTAATGGAGATCACTACCATCCCCAATTATCCCCAATTTACCAGGCTAAATTAAACCTATTTTCTTTGCATTGGCCAAACTTTCCCTCCCAGTCATCCCCAGAGCCTGGTCTACTTTGGATTGCCTTAGGACAGTCTGTCCCTACACTGCAGGCCTGGCTCTTTACAAATGTCATTGTCTCCCTTCTTCCTTTTGTGCCAAGATAATTCCTTTATATATTAAATAAAGTTGGCTCTTAAACAGTAAAATCAAAGAAGCACCATCACTTGAACTGGGAAGTTTTGTAGTCAGAGCAGGGATGGAGTCAGCCCTCATGCTGTGAATCCAAATAACCTTATTGATTTCAGTAGGTTTATACTGATTTAAACCTGCGACATTTCATCAAATCTACACCTTGCATTTTTAAGGACAAACCTAAATTGGGATCTTCATGTAAAAATTATCTGGATGTCTACTTTAATATCCACCCATAAGCTCTCAGGACCTGGATGTAGGCCAGAGTGCACAGGTAAGCAAACAGGGAATTCAACAGATCAGTCACAGATCTTTCTGTGGCAAAAATCAAGGTAATCTGCTGAGGCAAGGGACACCATACACAGCTCTGGGCTTTTACTGTGAGGTTAAAGCCAGCTGTTCACAAGTGATGGAAGTGAAATGAGGAAAATTAAAAAGAACCTGTCTATAAAGTGACAGTAACAGCTGGCCTAAGACATTGCCCAAGAAGCCAGTTTGAAAGCCTGTATTGGGAAGTTTGGGCTGTTATTCTGGTGATAGTAAATTGGGAGGAGCTATTGACTCCCTCAAAGGCAGACAACCCCTGCAGAGGGACGTTGCAGAATTAGAGGGCTGGATAGTGACCAACCATATGAAGTTTCACAGACACAAGAGCCAGACTCTGCGCCTGGGATGGGGCAGCCCTGGCTGTACAGACAGACTGGGGAATGACAGCCTGGAGAGCAGTGCCATGGAAAGGGATTTGGGGTCCTGGTCAGCAGAAAGCAGTGCCCTGGCAGCCAGGAGGGCCATCCCTGTCCTGGGGCCATCAGGGCCAGCGTGGCCAGCTGGGCAAGGGAGGGGATTGTCCTGCTCTGCTCTGCTCTGGGGCAGCCTCACCTCCTGTGCTGGGGGCAGCTCTGGGTGCCACAATGTAATAAAGGGCATGAAACTATTGCAGTGTGTCCAAAGGAGGGGACAAAGATGGTGAAGGGCCCTGAGGGGAAGCCTGTGAGGAGTGACTGAGGTCACTTGGAGGAGACTGAGGGCAGAGCTCACTGCAGTTACAGCTTCCTTGGGAGGGGGAGAGGAGGGGCAGGCACTGATCTCTGCTCTGTCGTGACAGGGCTTGAGGGAATGGCCTGAAATTGTCAGGGGAAGTTTAGGTCGGGTATTAGAAAATGGTTCTTCACCCAGAGGGTGGTTGGGCACTGGATCAGGCTCCCCAGGGAAGTGGTCACAGCACCAGCCTGACAGAGCTCAAGAAGCACTTGGACAACACTCGCATGCACGTGGCTTAATTCTGGGGGCTGTCCTGTGCAGGGCCAGGAGTTGGACTCAGTGATCCTTATGGGTCTCTTCCAATGCAGGATATTCTAAGCCTGTTATTCTGTGAAGAGCTTTGCAGTTTAAAATCCCTGTAAAATAAGATAAAAGAAAAAGAAAACAAACAAACAAAAAAAGCCGCCCAACCAAAGCAACCCACCAACTAAACAAAAACTCCCAAAAAACCCCAACCAACCAAGAAAAACAAACAAACAAACAAGCAAGCAAAACAAACATAAAAGCCCAAAACCCCAAACAAACAAACAACCCACAATAAAACAGCTGTTCCATAATCAAAAAATGTTTAAGGTACAGAGTGGGAAGGTCAAGCAAAGACCCTGCTGTGCTGCTTCTCCTAAGAAACCAGTTAAGCAGACTGTAAAATCACTTATAGCCTGGGCTCACTTTCCATAGTTCAGTAATTGACTTCCTAACATGAGCAAATGTGGGATTTTCCAGGCGTGTCACAACAGCACAACCCTTTCCCAGGAATACCTGGCAAATAAGTCTGAAAAGGGGTGAGGCCATATTCTGAGACAAAAATTCTGGGTAAGGATGGTTTGCAGAGTCAACATCATCACTTGGATATGCCTGCCTTAAAACCTCACTCGTGCACTGACAGCTGTGTTCTGTCGGGGATTCCTGGGGATTATCAGCTTTGATACCCTGAAAAATAAATGCAGCTGAAAGGGGAGCACACCCACAATGACCAAGAGACCATGATGCAAACCTCTCTCATATGAGACAACCGAGAATCACAGCAAGGTTGGTTTTGGTGGGGAACACAAGACAAGCCTTGGGGATTTAATGTCCTCCAGGAGGTGGCTGCTCTGCTTGCTTTGCACTGTGCTCATGATGCCAGCCCTTGCCTGGGGCATGGGAGTGTGTGCACCTCTGTGATGGAGCTGATGGGGCAGAGCAGGCTGGGCTCTGCTCTGATGTGGCCCATTGCTCATCTCAGTCGTGGTGAACACCTTCCTTTGACTTTCACAGTCCAGCTGCATCGTGGTGTTGCTGGCAGAAGACAGAACAGGCCTTCGATATTGAAAAAGAAAGAAGGTGCTGTGAAACTGTGTCTCAAGGGCCATTAGACAAATTTATCTAAACTTGCCATTTTGGATATTGATGGGTGATTTATTGATGCATTTAACCCAGACAGCTCTCCCAGATTTCTAGTGAGCATTGGAGAGCCTTCCTACCATCCAGCAGATCCACATTCCCACCCAAATCGGTGTCTCCTGTGAAGTGACTGAAGGTGCCCTTGATCCCCTCATGCAGGTCATTGATAAAGATATTAAAGAGAACTGGCCTCAACACAAGCCTGGATCACCACTTGCAACCAGCCACCAACTGGAGTAACTGCATCCATCACCCATCCATCACCACCCTCTGGGCCTGGCCATCCAGCCACTGTTTTACCAGGGAAAAGCACATCAGTCTAAGCCAGGAGCAACCAATTTCTCCAAGAAAATACTGTGGGAAACAATGTCCAAGGCTTTAATAAAGTCCAGGTAAACCACATCCACAGCGTTTCCCTCATCCATTAAGGTCTCTCTGAAGTTTCTTAAAGAGGATTTAATTTTCTTTCCCTACAGAAGTTGTAATTTTGAGTAGGTTTTCTTCCTGCTTGTCAGGAGAGCACAAGCCACCAACTAGCTCAGACAGAGAATAGTGGCTGAAACCATCACTTCAAATTGCACATTTGAAAAAGGGTTTTTTGGAAACATGTAATCCTGATATTGTGAAACCATAAGACGCACAGGGTTCTGCATATGTGGGATTGGTCACACTGGAAACTTAGCAGATGTGTTATTATGAGCCTGGTGTATTAGCTGGAGAGAGTGGGAGAAGAACTAAATACTTCCAGTGATATCTCAAAAGCAGAGAAAGAATAAAGGCACAGTGCCATGGCATGAGCAATTCTCATATTAGACTTGGTTGAACTACTTATTATAAAATGTATTCGTTATGCATTCAGTTCCCTTCTGGCCAGCATATAGCCCATGAATCAGCTCTAATTTTTCCTAATTTTATTCAGCAACCCTTGTTTAGCAGATTGAATGAAAGAAAAATTTTTAGCCTCCTGGCTTTCCAGAGTGTTTGTCTCAATTACATCTGATACAAGGCCATTCCCCAGCACAGCAGCATATTTACCTGCAATTTAGCATCTGTCCCCAGTATTTTTACAGCTAGAGCAAGAAGATGAACCCTTAATAAGCAGAAAATGTTATTCTGCTAAAATCAGGGAAACACTGGGGCTTGCAAATGTGACATTAATACCTAGCAATTGTTTGAAACAGCTCTGAGCAGTTTTTCTCAAAATCCCTTAAACCCTCTCTACATTAAAAGTATTCTATGGGAGTAGTGTACATGAAATGCATAGATTATTCATGCTCGTTATTTACTTGCAAAGCCTTGACAGCAGCCAGAAAGGGAACTGGAAATGCTCTGCATCTCTCCAAGCCAAGAATGTGGATTTTCTTGCTGTTCATCCCCAATTCTCTCCCTTTATCTCATGACTCAGCTGCCTGATGCAAGGGTTTGCAATTACAGCTCGGCTGATTAGCTTCCTGAATTGCGTGCTGTGGTTTCTAGACTTCACATGCAATTTTGACACATATATGGATTTCATAAATTCACTTTCAAGAAGCACTTCGTTGTCCTATTTTCTGAGTTTTCCTCCTGATAAACCCTAATGACCTGAATATTTAAGCCACCTGGAAGAGAAGACACAAGAGCCAGCGACAGGGCAGGCCAAAACTCAGTTCTCCTCTTAAAAAACCACTGAGTTGTTTGTTCAGCCCAGGTGAAAACCTCGGAGGAGGAAAGATGCCTCAAGCAAATGCCTACGAGTGTGAGATACCATTGATGCAGCCCCTGGGTTTCCATCAGCCGGGCTCAGAGCTTGCAAGCAGGCTCTGCCTCCTGTCAGGGGGTCAGTGCTCGGCAGAAAAAGCTGTAACTGAAGAGCAGAGCAAAGCTCCTCCTGTTTGTGCCTGCAACCAAAACAATCTCTCCCGGACCAGTCGGCTCAGCTGGAGGAAAAGCCCCGGGGGTGACACAGTCTCTGCTTCCTGTTTTTCTCTTTGCACAGTAAATGGGTTTCTAAGGTTTCCAGAGACATGACTGAACCTCAGACATGAGCATCCTTGAACTTTTGGCAAGTTTGGATTAAGTTTTGGATGCAAAATTTCAGCTCAGATGTATTTTTAATATTATTTACACTCCTTGCACCACACAAGGCCTGCAGGAGTGCTGCTGTCCCCATGAGCCAACATGCCCTGCTCAAAGGCAGGCTGAATCCCAGCCTGGGAGCAGTGGGCAGGTTTTTTTTGCCATCCTGTGCTGTATGAATTCCAAAAGTGTGCCTGTGTAAGGGAAGGTCTGTTGTTGGCAAAGCCTGGTTACACTCTGGAGGTTAGCTGGGGAAAGAGCAGCTCTTTTGTTCTTCCCCTTCCCAGCCATGGATGAAATATCCATCATAAATTTTAGCATTCAAAAAAAGTAATTTCCCCTAAAAGTCTTGGTTTTATTAGATTTCCATTAGTCTTCCCTTTGTTCTTATGTTTGATTTAGGGGACACAATCTTTATGAATGTAATGTCAAAATAAGAGGTCTGGTCTGAGACATAAAATGGAACAAAACCACTAGGTTTATTTACTGCTGTCCCAAAAAGTAGTGCAAGTCAGTGGAACCAGACTGTTTGGCCTCATACCATAAATTTTCAGCCACAATTCATATGATTTTCAGTTAGCCTTTTGCTCCAAGTGGTCATTAAATGCTGATTGTTAAAACATGAACTATGAATTAAGATAATTATAATTATCTTTGGAGCCTCGTAGAAAAAGGCCAACTTGATAAAGCCATTCTTCAAGCTCCTTAGCCTGGAAAGAAGCATTTGTCCTCTTCAAAAGCAAGGTCTGGATAACCATTTTAAATTTATGCTATTTTATTTTATTAGTAGTTTTGTGGTCTGAGATGATGAGGTTGATGCCAGGTGTGTGTCCTCACTTGTCCCAGTGTCTGCCACTGGTGCAGGCATGAACATCAACCCTACAAAGGACAGTGTGGGCCACTGCCTGGGGTTTTGTCCAGCCCAGCTAATGTCCTTCTGTTTATAATTTTGGCCTCAGATCCCCTGAAAATGTTCAATGTGATGATGCCAAATGGTGCTTGGCAAGGCTATGTGTCAAATCCAGCTTTCTAGCCAGGAGAGCTGGTGTCAGATGATGCCTGCTTGAAGTTTCTTCACACTCTTCCAATTACAGCCTTAAAGTGTGCAGGTGAGGTTTGGGCATCCCCTTGCCCCTTATGCACAGTGCCACACAGTCCTTCAGTAAGCTACAGCTACAGGCTTGTCAAAAGTATGTGCAAGTTCCTGGGTGCAATCTCAGCGGTATTTGTGTTTTCATGTGTTGTGATGTCTTCCCACTGAGTTCAGGGAGAAATTATTTCTGAGACAAGGGAAAGCAAGGAGCTGGAGCCTCCTTCTGCAGCTTCCCAGGATAAGTGGGGCTTTCTACGCATTAAAACACCAACATTTCCTCCTGGGCAAGGAGAAAGCAGGGATTGTGTGTGGAAGGGGTTATGTTTTTCTCATGCTTTGTGCTCTTTGTCATGTTTCTTTGGGTATTCTGGATAGTTATCCCACATGAACAAGGATTTCACCCTCCCAGTGTTACCTGGAAGCTAACAGCATTGGAAGAAGGGAATCTGCCTCCTGATTAAAGGCATTAGGAATGTAGATAATGGCTTTTAGCTTTCTGGCTCCCAAGCACTCTCTGTCTCTGTGGGGGTTCCATAAATCACTGTCCCCAGAGCTGGTCTCCAGCTGCTCCAGATGTGCACAGTGCTTCTGAAAGCCATCATGCACAGAATGAGTCTGTCTCACTCATGGGAGAGACAAGGTTGTGGCTTCTCACTGGATGTGCCTCCGGCTAAACGCCACATCCATGGGCTGGAAGAGCCTCTCCTAAAGCCCGCACCAGCCAATGCTTTTCTGGGCTCAGGAAATGCTGATTTATGCTGGTGGACATGAAGGACAAAGTCATTGGCAGACATGAAGTCAGCAAAGGCCATCTTGCCAGGGAAGAGCAGTGGGGTGACACGGAGCATGTGGCTGCTTTGGTGCTCCCAAAAAGCTCCACAGAAGACACAGTGCTAATCAGATTTTCAGAATTAACTAATTGTATCTCTTCTGTTTGTTGTCCACCCTAAACTCTCACCAGCAAAAGTGGAGGGAGACCTAGGCCTGTTCCTGTTTCCTACTTCATTGAAGGTCTTCTGCTGGAAGAGCTCCTGCCCACTTCTGAGGGCAGGGAACCAGTCCACATCCTCCAGCCTTCAGGTCATCTCCTCCCACATATTCTTTAACCACTTCCTGACCTGTGCCACCCTGAACAAGGTGTTGCCTCTCCTGGGTGTCACTGCTGCTCCAGCACAGCTGTGGTGTCCCAGTTTGGCAGCCTGGATCACGAGCAGTTCTGCACTCAGTGCAGTGTGGGTTGTGTTGAATTGCCTTGTGTTGCTTTTGTTATGTAGTGGCATATTGATCCAGCAAAACACCTTCCTGGACCCCTTGGCAGGAAAGTCTTTGAGAAGTCAGCATAAACTAAAAATCCCTCCAGGAGAATTCAGTGAGGCAGCTCAAAAAATCTTCCATCATTATGTTGGAATAATGATGGAAACACATCACACCACGATGTGTTTCTTCATGAGTATGATGCTAGCACTGCCCTTCTGCAGACTCTTGGTACAAACTTATTTGAGTAACCCTGCTCTGCTCTGAGGAAGATGGGGAAAAGTTGGGCAGGTTTTGATGTTCTGACCTTTGGTACTGACTTTTGTAGCAAATGGTGTTGGGAAGTGCTCAGAACAAGTCTCCCCTGGTGCTAATGACTGCACAGCGTGGGTTTGGTGCTGGAGGTGTGAAGGGAGGGCAAGGAGAAAAGCAGCAGGAGCACAGAAGGGGAGGCTGATGGCATGCCATGTCCATTTGCTGCCATCTCTTATGGCAAGCAGCAGTCTCTCAGAGTGACACGTATCTCAAGAATTGGTAGGATGGAGAAAATGGGCTCACTGTCTGGCAGCACTGGTGCATAGGTGATGGTAGGTAGATACAGGCTGTACTGTGTCCATAACAACCTTATTGCCTTTCTTAGGTGAAATTTTCCCAGTGCATGTAATGGTTCTGTGTCGAAGGAAGGGGACCAGGACACCAGCTGGTTCATCACAGGTCCAGTTTATTGAAGAAAGCATCAAACACTTATACAGCAAATAATAAGCTTATGAATATTCTGTAATCCAAGCAATCTATTCATTAAACTATACCATGAACTCTTCCTCATTCCTTAGGGGTTACATCTCTCTTTTCTCATATCTCTTTCACTATTTGTTATCATACTACAGCTAGGCCCAAGGACACGCTATCTAGCAGGTGCAGGACTTGGAATTAGCCACGGCTTTGTACTTTTTCAGTCTCTAGTCAGCTAAACTCCCAACAGTTCAGGATTTGAGGGTAGCATTTCAGCAGCTGTGATGTTGTGTTAGAGCAGACACAATGTCTGAAAGCTCCCAAGACCACACTTGCTCTTGCTCATGCCTATTTCATTGAAAAAAGCACTTTCAGGAAAAACACTTTTGAAATAATATGTTCCAGGCACCACAACATGTAAAGGAAGTGACACAGCAGGCTGCGCAATAAATAGGAAAGCAGATAAATCCAGAGCCAGATTTTTTCAACAGTCTAAAAGAGTGAAAAGCATACACTAATCAAAGCAGCAGTGTCTCATTTTGTCTTGTGCAGTCTGCTATGCAGTGCCTGGACAGGTAAAAGCAGTCAGATATAAACATTTCAGAGCACTGCCACAGTTTGGGCTGGCATGGCCCTCCAGGCCTTTTGGAATAGCCCTAACTCCTCCGGGGGTTACTGATCCACAGGGCTGCTGGGGTCCTGTTGCAGATGCAGCTTTGAGGATGCACACAAGCACACCAAAAATAAACAGCTCACTGAGGAACAAACACTGGGGCTAGGGCAGGTGCATGTGTAATGGAGTTGGGCACCTATATTTGATTTTTAAGGAAGGGCACAGTGCTGCAGGTGGCATGGGACGCCCTGACAGTCTTATTTCAACTGCTGTGATTCCTAATTTTTATTTTATTTCTTTGCCTCTAAATGCTCCCTGCTACTCTGCATTGATCATAATTTTTTACCTTGCAGAGGCAATACAAGGGCTGATTAGCCCAAACATACAATTTGTTTGGAAATTAAGGAATGTTTCTTCATATAGAAGCTAGATACCAATAGCTCTAGTAATTGGAAGAAGGTATCAATTTCTTTAAACTAATAAAAATACATAGGATATTATTTCTTTGACTATTGATGTAGCTCATAATTCTAAAGGGATTAAATTATGGATGGCTCAGAATGCCATCCCAAGTCCTTCCCAGCAGGACTGCTCTGGATCTGTTCACTACCCAACCTGGATTGATGCCAGGGGTTACCCTGACCCAGGTGCAGCACCTTGCACTTTGTCATGTTAAACCTCATGAGATTCCCATGGGCCCAATTCTTGGGCTTGTCCAGGTCCCTCTGGATGGCATCCCATCCCTCAGGTGTGTCAACAGCAACACTCAGCTCTGTGCCATCTGGAAACTTGTTGAGTGTGTACTCAACCCCTTTGTTTATGTCATTAATGCAGATACCAAATAACCCTGGTCCCAATATGGGCACTGGTCACTGATGTCCATCAGGACTCTGAGCTGTTGACCACAATCCCCTGGATGTGTCTGCCAACCACTTTCCTATCTACCCACCAGTCTATCCACTGAATCCATCTCTCTCCATCCAGAGAGGGGTGTTTTGGAGGACCTTGTCAAAGGCTTTTGATCCATGTAAAATCCAGGCTGGTGGTGTGTTACTGCCCCTGCAGCTGCACAGCTGTGTGGGTATGAACCTACCACCACCCTACACAATGCACCAGGAGTGCACAGATTTACAAAGGGCTGGAAATAGAAATGAAAATTGGGATCTGCTCCTTCCACAGTGCCTGCTCTTCCTATAGCCATTGACAGGATGGACTCACATCCATTATCTAGACACTAATAACACAGTCCTGACAAAATAAGTAATTGAAAATGGGGGTTTACCTCTCCCCACTCCACTACTGTTATAAGTGTGACAAGCATCCCATTCCCATGGATTTTTTCCCATCTGCTAGCACCCATTTCAGGAGACACCCAGGGCATGGACCTATGTGCTCATCCCATAAGGGTGGCTGCAGGGAGATTGAGGAATCAAATCTTGAACCCTCTTGAGTGGAGAAAGAAATACCCATTTCACACTCTTATTTAAACATTAAATCACCAAATGCATCCTCTCTCAGTTCCTTCCTCTCTTTGGGTGATTTTCAGACAGAGGAGATGCTAAGCTGTAAACAACTTTTTTTCAGCATCATCACACTCCATAAATGGTTATTGTGGCTTCACAGTGGCAGGTTTTATTGTGTGATTAGGCTGACAATGTGCTAATGCTCTGCCCTAGACCTTCCACATCCTTAGACAGAATTTACACATTGAGAAAAAAAGAAAACAACCACAATCTGAGAAAGCACTTTCTGTACTGGAAATTTTGACCCATTTCCATGCCTCATTTTGCAAGGTCAGTCTCTGAACATTGCAGACTTGTTCAGCTGCCGCTCCAGCATCTCCTGAGCCATTTATTAGACTCTGGAAGTCATTTGTTTCACCCCATACCTGCAGCCCCAGGTGATGAAAGCAAAGGAGGGCTGTCACTGGAGCAAGGCGAATGTGAAATGCAGCCCCCCCATCACAAGACACATAATGTGAAGCCAGAACAGTGGCTTTGCATCCCTCACCACTGGCAGTGGTTCAAAGGCAGAGGTATGTGGGGGTCTCACTGTGAACTGGTCCAAGCCTGTGTTCCACTTTGCATCCACAAGTTTCTCCAGATGTTGCAGAAGCTGAGGGTTCCACCACCCAGCTAATACATAAAATACAGATGTAATTTATGGAAGCATAGTGATCCCCTTTTGATATGTTATCCTCATGTTTGAGTGCACTGAGGGAAGTGTGTCCATGCTTGGAGGATCGCTGCTATTCAGTGCACTGATGTGGTTAATAAGTGCAGCTCCTCAAGCAGACAAGCCCAGATTGTCCCTCTCTGGCTGGGCAAGGTTTGACCATCCCTGGGAGAAATGCTGGCTGTGAAAGAGCTGTTTATACCTACCTTGTCTCAGCAAAAGATGAGGTTTGGGTAGGAGGAGGACCAAGATGAAACAACTAACAGTAGCACTTCTTGAAACAGCGAGAAAGAGACTTTTTCCCTCATCTTTTGCCCTACTAAGGTTTCTTAGCAAAACTCTATGCTCCCTTGCAGTTTCTCTCATGGGCAAACTTTCTGCATCATGTCTCCCTTCTTTTTCTGCTGTGTTTATCATCTTCTGGGTGGTTTTATGGTTGCAGGTTTGGGGGAAAGGGTATCCAATGATCACAGACTCCAGCAAGCCTCAGGGCAACAGAGACCCTTCCCCTTAACCCACACCAGGTGAGGACCAGCATAATTTACCATTGAGAAGACTGATATAAACATTTGTATCCCCAGTAGCCTGCAGCTGCTGGTATGGGAAGCATCTCATTTCCAGCTGATGATAGCCTTGTTAGGCTGCTTTTTTAGCAATGCTAATTGACAGTTTCCTGCTTCTGATTTCCCTTTTGCAATTTCCAAGGGGAAGGGAAAAGCAGGAAAAGTACCAGGGAGACCCATAAAATTATTCAGATCTGGAAATCACAGAGATGTGTGCACAGGGATGTGGCTGGTGCTGGGTAGGGACTGAGTGGGTGTGAATGTGTTTTGAGTCAGGTAGAAAAGGGCTGGGGTGACCTATAGGGGTTTAGTGCAGAGGAAAGTGGAGGTTATCTTTGCCATCATTAAAATGATAAAGCTGCACCTCCTCTCTTGAAGAACATCTTGCAGTCTGGGGTGGTTGTTCAAACCCTGGATGCTAAAATGAAATTTCTGATTAACTGAATTGGGAAACTCTCATGATATTGCCAACCAGCCCTCAATACAGGACTTTCCCCCAGCTTCCCCCACTGTGGACATGGACCTGTCCATGGCTGAGAAAGAATGCAGCTCATCTTCCTTCAGTGCTGTACCCAGCCAAGGGGATCAGTGCCTGTGCAGGTAAAAGGGGAATCCAGATGAAGGTTTATGCTACATCTTATGAGCAGTTGGTTTTGACTTATCCATGACTTAATCATAACACTAGGATGGGAGCAATTCTAATAGGAGACAACTTATTGATTCATATTGCTGCTTCCTTATACACCTTGGACAACCATATTTCAGTTTATTTTTATATTTACTCACACATATGCACTCAAGGGATTCATATCACTGCACTATCCCGGCTTTTGGAATGGAAATACCACCTCAACAACCAGGGACAAGGGTAGGCTGTGGCTGTGCAGGGTGCTCCCCCACACCCCCACCTCAGGGACAGAGTGTTCTCCATGTACCTGCTCTCTGCACCAGCACAGAGGGCAAAACCTCCCCACTGCCCTCACACTGGTGTGCCGAAAAGGACACATCTGTGGCACTGACAGCAGCCAAGAACGTTGTGAAGGTTTTTCTATGCCTAAAAATGAAAGAAGTCTCTGAGGTGGAAGGGAGGAGCTGAGTCCTTCCAAGGAGAAGCCAGCACAAAACAACAGCTCAGAGCTGGATAAAAATCCCAAGCCTTCCTCACCTAAAGCCAGATGTGGGCTTCCTTACATGTGAAGTGAAAAAAGGCAAATACACTGTTGCAAAGAAGCTAGAAAAAGAGAAAGGCATAACATTTTAGCTTGACAACCCTTTCTACTACTGTGAAAATATATAGAAAATTTTGTTAAATGCAAGAAATGTTTATTCAAAATGTTATTGGTTAGTAAACCCACTTAATATGTGAGACGTGGCCATTTTATATGTGCAGTCCCTATTTTCAGGTGTTTTTTCCCCAAAAGATGTGTGGGTGGCTATGTGCACAGCAATGGCTCTGCAGGTGTTAATGACCATCCTGGGGAGGGGAAGGTTCCATGAAATTGCAGATGTCACTAAGGTAACAGTGGGTCCAAGCCAGCAGAAGAGCACCCAAATGCCTTTAGCTATTAAAAGCCATAGACAAGAACCGAAGGAAAGCATTAATTTACCTGGCCTGAGCAGAGATAAAACAGGTGGGTTAACCAGAGTTTTTCTGATTACAAAAGCAGAGCAAGGGCTGGAGGGCTCCTGCCTGCAGACCTGAGACTGAGTGGCCTGGAGGAAGCAGAGCACTAGGGCTCCTTGCAGTGCTCAGAGGGATGAAAGGAAAATGCCTGTTTTCGGGTTGGAAGAGCAGATCCAATTCACATGGGCTGCTCAGCTGTCCCAGCAGCCTCCTTCCATCCAGAAGGGAGGCAGAGGGTGCCTGTGTGGGGCAGTGCAGGCTGCATGCCTGGTGAGGGACCATGCCCAGGCAGGGCAGGAACAAATAACACTGCCTACTGCAGCCAGGAAACCACTGGAGCCTGGGGAACCCCAAACCAGCCCAAAGAGACACTGATTGCACTGTCCACCTGCTGGCTTCTTCCTCCTCCTCCTCCTCGTCCTCCTCTGCTCTGTCATTTAAGATTCTGGTCTCTGTCTCCATTGTTACTGGTCAGGAAGGTTTGGCTAACATCAGCTATGTGTAAAAAAGTACCAAAAAAGGAATTCCAATATTTGGCTGGAAAAGGAGAACTTATCCACTGGGGCTGGGGCACTCTGCAACTTCCCAGTGATGGAGACCTTAGGGGTTGCATGAGTCCAGGATGGAGGACTTAAAACCACCTAGCTGCAGACTGAGTTTGTTTGTGTCTTTTACCATTTCTCTCTCTGAATCCTGCAAAACTGCCCTGCAGGTAACTAGGAAACTAATGCACCAGAGATTATAAAGTGCTGTGTTGAAAACATTCCAAAATTAGCTTTCCTGCAGTCCAGATGGTGCATAGTGAATGCTTAATGGCACAGTATAAAGACTTTATTGGCACTTGTGAGGGCTGATCTGAGCAGCTGACTTGGTGCCTCTTCCCTCCGTGTGTAATGCATCTGTTGGAGCCCATGCCAAACCCACCTCCCACCACTTTGTATCTCGTGCAGGCCTGTGTGTGCATACAATTCCTAAATGACAGGAGATAATATTGGAAGAAAGTCTCAGCAAGGTACACTTTACACTTGTCATCTTGAATATTAAGTTAACTCTCTGTCTCCCTCCCTTGTGCTGACTTCTGCTCTTTAAGTGTTTTGACCTCCTGCAAGTCCAGGTCCAACGCTGGGGTAAAGCAGTGGGGTGCTTGTGCTGTGGGGTCTGGTTCTTGCTGTTCTTCCCAATTCTCAAGGGATTTTCAGACTGAAGCACTGAGACTGATGAGCCCTAGGGTGGGCTGCCAAGCTTGGAACAGAATCCCTGGCTGGAACAAGGGTTCAAGCTCCACCAGGTCCTTCTACATCTACACAAATCTTCTTCCCATCCAACAGAATAACCAAAGCTCCTTACAACAAAATAGCTTCTTCCAAGGATCATTGCAATATTTGCATACCACCAATATTGACATCTCTCTGTTTTTAACATTTGTAAACCCCATGTTTTCTCATTTTATTTTCCAAATAACATCACAGATGACCAAGACAAGGCACAGCAGTGTGGCTGTATTTCTCTTCACAGAGAAAAGCAAGGCACAACTTCCCAAGGATTTTCTGGGATTCACATTCTCTGAACCTCAGAGAAAGAAAAAACAATTCTTATCTCATTTACTGCTCCTGTGTTTTGGAACAAGGGGAATGAATTGTGGAAGATTGTTTACCTGAAGGGAATTGGAAATTGGATTCTGGTGTGAGTGTTCTGATTCACTGACCAGTTGAATCCAGGTGTGTGTGTTGGGCTGTTGGCTGACAGTCACGAGCTGCTGGGCAGTGGAGTTGAGTGCTTGTGCAGGTTCGGTTTAGATTCAGTGTAATATAGAATAATATAATAAAGTAATTAATGAGCCTTCTGATAAGATGGAGTCAGATGCATCATTTATCCCCTTCATCAGGGTTGCCCTGCTTTTTCTGCAGTCCTGGGGAGGCAGTGCTGTGGCTCAGCATGTGCTAAGAGTAGGGTGCCAGCAGGTTTAGCTCTGCCCTGGCCAGCAGCTGGCACACAGAATCCTGGACTTCTACAGCTCTGTGAGCACTTCCATGAGAGACACATTGGTGAATAATGAGATGTGACTGTCTGTGAAATGGTTTGCAACACTGCTGCAAGGAATATTTCTGGGATGGAGTCTACATGAGGCCACTGAAGAATAAAATAGCTGACCCTCTCTTAGCTGTACTCATCAGCATCAAGGTTGCAGCAACTCATGTGGAACATCTTCTTGAAGGAGAAGAAAGAGAGCAGCAAGCAGCCTGGCACAGAGCAGTGTGGCTTCTTACATGTGGGCATTGTGCTTGGGAACTGCGAGTGAGCACGGAGGTGTGTAAAGGTGGGAATGTTGGACCTCAGCCCTTTCCAGTGGGTAAGGAGCTGGATTTCTGCATCTCTGCTGGAAAGAGAAGCTCAGAACTGAGCTGGACTCACAAGTGCTTTGGGGCCATGTGGTGGTGCCTGCAGGTGGTGCCTGCTCTGTGTTTCACCACAACACAGAGCCCAGCTGCTGCAGATTTATGTCACTGGCAACAGAGGGAATATCGCCAGTTATGTGATGCCCACAAAGTGTTATCTATTTTCTTTATGTTTGCTGTGGTTTTTTTCAGCGTGCCCCGTAATGCTGACATTTATGGAGAGATGAAATAAAATCTATTTGATCAAATAGCTCCTCAAGGTCATATATAAAACATGGACTCAGCTAGATTTAATTGGGAGGGGACAACCAGCCCTGCACTGCTCAGCCTCCTTGGGGCTTCCATGCAAAAGGCAGATGCCCTGACAAACTTTCCAGTCCTGCTCAGCCACAAGTGTGGATATTTCCATGTGGACATGACCCCCTCATGCTGCAGAGGCTGTTTGTCCCTCCCCTGTGCATAAGGACAGACAGGGAGGCTCAGGGAGCCATATCAAAAAGTACAGCTTTGTTTTCAGTCCTGTTACAGGGTATCCATGGAAACGAGGATGACTTTCCAATCCTTTTCTGGGGAAGGCACTGCATTCACTGCAATACAGTCTCTTCAACTAAAATTTTGCAAAACAGCTCCCCAGGGTGACTGCTTTTTATCCAAAAAGCCTGCAGTACAGCTGGCTGGAGGGAGCTAGCCCCTTTTAACCCTCCCACAAAACTGGCATTTCTCAGCAGGTCTGGGGATCCTGCTTTCCAGCTGGATTTCATGGGAGAGGAGAGCAGCCAGCATCTCCTGCTGACACCAAACCCCTTCCCAAGGTGCCTGGGGGTGGAGGGAGGTGGTGGTGACGAGGTGGGCAGGGTGAGTGGAGGCCCTGGGGGAAGGCAGACAAATTCCTCCCCTGGCTTCAGGAGCAGGGCTGGTTTGGGGACATCAGGGCTAAAGATGGGTGGCATGTGTGAATATGTGATGCCAGGAATCTGACAGGGAAATCTTGTTCTGCTTAGAGATGGAAAATCTCTGGAAGTTTTAAAGGCATGAGGAGGAAAATATTTTTTTAAAAAACCCACCAAATTTAGGAAATTCAAATAATTTCAGTAGTTATGCTGCTTATAAGAATTATTGGGTTTTTAATTCTTTACGGGTGAAAATATGATTTATGCAGTTAGCTCAACAGAGGAGGTGATGGATACATTTACAAAGCTGAGTTTCAGTTTTTATTTTCAAACTGTGAGTGACATGACCACTGTATGCTAGGCACTTACTTGTACACGTGTTGCCTACTAACATATTTCTAACTTAAAGAAAAGAAAATGCTGAAAAATTAAAAGGAGCCATCTAGCTGGTTTTTAAGTAAGAAAGAAGGCTGTATCCTACCTCAAGATATCAACAAATTTAAGAGAATAGAGCAAAAGCTTGAAAAATTAACATTTGCTCTCTCTCTCCTTAGTGTCTGTGAGGCAGCTGACACAACAGCAGCCAAAACCATCATTAAATTAGGTATAGAAGCTGAGAGTCTGTAAGCATTTTAATTGCTTGATACCATGCAGGTTTGAAATAAAAGACCTTCATTTGAAATATTTTAGTTATTGAAAGCATTTTGAAGAGCTGAGAATGGCAGCAGTCATGTCGTGTTAAACATTTCTCTAACCTTCCCTGTTCACTCTGAGCAAAATTAATTTACAAGAATGTTTCTTCTACATTTCTTCTCCAAGTATACAGTTTTCCATATAAGAAAAAGATATTAATTAAACAGGCTTTTTTTTTTCTCTCAAGCCTTGCATTTTTCCCAGTCTCCTATATCTCAGTTGGCTCTTGATCCTCCCACATTAAGAGTCCCTAGACTGGATTTTCCTGTTGATCAAGGGAATGGGGTCTTGTAACCAGACATGTCATAGCTCACATTTGTCACCTTGCTCCCATTAGTTAGAAAAGGGATTTGTGCATCCAAACTTGCAGAGATTTGGCCCCACTGTTGTTCTGTGCCTGTGTGCCATTACTGAATAAAGGAGAAGGATTTGTTTTGGATTATTTGCTTTCCTAACAATTTGTTGCTCTGGTTTCCTATGGAAATCTGTAACTCCACCTGCACTCTCCTAGTGCAGCTGCCACACCTGGCGACCACTTCTCCAGTACTGGGGCTCTGGTGGGGACACAGTGGGGACACAGGACAGACAGGGGATGTTCCTGGGCATGTCATGGCTCTGTGGGCTGGGGCCTGGTGGCCCTGACCTCTCCTTGTGAGAGAAGGATGGGTTGGAAAAGCCATCAGGCTTCGTGACCCCAAGGCAGGACGAGAGCCGCTGGGTCTGCATGCCTGAGCCTCTGCCACCCCCTTTCAGCACTGCTGCCAGAGCAAAGGGATTATATTGCAATCCCTCCCATTGGGAATCTGCTTTTCTGTGAGGAAACACGCTCATTAGCCAGGCAAAAATAAAGATGCTTAAAAAGAGGTCATGCTCTCGGGCTCCTGTGAAATCACATCTGATAGCAAGCCTCTCCGTGGCTCTTTTTTCTCTGAGGCACTGCTTAATTAAACTTGAGCCCCACTGCTCCCCAGCCAGGCTCCAAAACAAAAGCCAGGTGGCTGGGTGGGCACTCCCCTGCTGCAGCTTTGTGCCAGCCCCACTGCCAGCTCCAGCAGCACAGCTGGGACTCCTGGTGCTCACTGGGATCTGTCCCTTCCCTGCCCCTCGGTCACAGCACGGGGAGACACAGGAGGGGGACAGTCCCCATTTCTGGGGCTCTTCTTCAGCAGGGACGTCCCCAGTACACAACATTACACCACAAACCCAGTGTAAAGTTTTGCCCTACCCTTAAGAAGATTATTTTCCCTCTCTGCAGGTCATTTTGGTGGACCTGGTGGTTCAGAACAGCAAAGCAAAGCAAGGAATAGGAGACAGCACCAAAACCACTAAAATCCCCCCTTCTCTCCAAAGCAGACTATCTTCTGCAGCTTTCTTTGTCACAAAACTCCCTTCCTTGCATCTGATGTGGGATTCAGCAGCCAGACAGCAGTACAAAAAGGCTAGACTTGATGTTTGTTTGGTGGCTGCACAGAGCCCATAGAAATGTGTCTGAGGGTTTTTTTCCTTCCTATTCAAAGCTTTACCTCCTGCTGAGTCACCAGAGGCTGGCTGAGGGAGTGTATCATGCATAATTATTTGGAAAAGCAATCTGACATGCTAACTCCTGTCCCAAAATGTGCAATTTGTAATATACAGAAGGGCAAAACGCAACTTAAATGCTTTAGAAGATTCCTTGCCTCATTTAATTCTCTCATGGCAGATTTAACCAAGAGGCCAGGAAAATACAGGACCCAACAGACACTTCCAGAACACAGCCCTTGGTGCTTTCTAAACACCTAAGATGCCCTGTGCAGTGACTGGGAGGAGGCAGCTGCTTCAGTCCTTCTCTCAGCAGCAAACACCAGGAGGTGTGGAATGACAGCCACAGGATCAGAGGTGCTCTGTCTCCCTCAATAACCCAGCAGGTAAATGCAGAAGCTGCCCTCCTCTCTTCTGAGGAGCTGCAGGAAGGCAGAGTGTGAGTGGAAGATGTGCAGGTTCACTTACATTTCCCTTTGTCTGGGGTATCTCTAGGGCACAAAGCAAATGTTCCTTTGGCCAGGAGATTTGTCCCTGCCAGGGCAACATGGCAGGACAGCATTCCTCAGCAAACCTTCCTTGGACAGACACTTGCTACTGTGGTGGTTCCAGTGCTCTAATGAGGGCTAATTCAGCAGGAAACAATTGCTGTTTTGCTTTTGAAAGGCAGCAAGGAAATAAAGGCAGGCAGTAACACAGAAATATAAAGATTAAATAGAAGGTCAGCCTTTTAGATGGCCTTAGCCAGCCATATCAACCATTCTCTGTTGCCTCTTCTCCCCACACAGGGATCCAGCTCATATGGTACAGCATCATTTGGGCTGTGTGTCCTTGCACACTTTACCTTCTCCAGTGGAAATGTGGTCAGAGTGATAAAAGACCTGATGCAAATTTTTCTGTTCCTGCCTCCCCTGATTTATACAACTTATGAACACCCCCCCCCCCACCCCCATCCTGAGCCCAGATGTGCCTTTCCCTCCCTTCCACCCAGGGAAAGTCTGCTTGTCTATAAAATAAAGTGTAGGACTGGGGTCAGACTGAAAACCAAGAAGGAGGAAGGGGAAAGGAAAGAGGAAGCTGCAGCTCTGGTGCAGCATGGGCTGGGAAGGTGATGGCCCAGAGCACCATGGATTTTGGTGCAGTTTATGATGGTTTTGCATGTCAGGGATATTGCTGATGAATGAGAAGCTGCAAATGAAAACACTTGCTTCCAGGACAAGAGAATTTGCTAATAAAAATGCCCATTTTTCTAAAACAGCAGGAAGCCTTAAATTTCCTGGAGAGAGAATGTGTTGATAGAACGATGGGATCTCTCCCCATCCCCCATGGTTTGTTTGCAGAGTGCCATGCCAAGGGAGCAGCTCTCTCCTGGATGCAGAGGTGGGAAGAGCTGTGAGTCACCATTTGCCTTTCACACAGAAAGCTGGTTGTCAACAGCTTCACATTTAAAAGAATAAAAGAAAGCAAAAGTCCACTTGTGACAAAGGCTGGTGGCCAGTGGGTTGTGGTGGAGGATGGATGTGGAAGAACAGAGATGTGCAGGCAGAAGTTTTGACAGCATTTGATGAGGAGTGGATGGATAGAACGCACATCATCATTTCTGAAAACATGAGGGAGACTTTTTCCCAAGCCTCCTAAGGCATTACAGTCCCTGCACATCAGCTCCTTACATTACTTGCTGCAGTGCAACACATGGCTGAAGTGCCTCCAGACACCCCTCGTGTGCTTCACGCATGAGCAAACCTGCAGAGGCTCTCCCCAGGGCTCAATTTGGGCAATTCCTGCCATTCCTGTGGAGGAATTCTGTGCAGGACAACCCTGCTCCAGACAGGAGAGTCCTGCACATCCCAGCAAACAAAACCTTGGTGGGGTTTTCTTCCCTCATCGCCACACAGAGTTTACAGTGCTTGTAAGGCAGGCTGGTTAAAGAACCCTTTTATGTCTTTCACTCAGCATTTTCATAAATAGCTTCACATGGCCATTTGGCAGCTTGGTGCTGCTCTACATTCAGTGGGAAACAGCTCAGTCCACCTGGCAGGGTACTCCTGCAGCCCATCATCCATGGGAGGAGGTTGAAGCCCCTGCCCTCATGCTGCAAGCAGGGACCTGCACCAGCCAGCACTGCTCTGGGGCTTTTGGGGTGCCCATGGTCTGGCTTGCCAGCCTGCCCAGTACTGGAAGGCATTGCTGTGTCAAGCTGTGCTCCCAGCTCTGAGATCCTCAAAAACTCACCTTACCCAAATGAAAGGGCAGCTGAACCTGCCACCAGCTGCTGGCTGCCAACTGGCAAGGCCTACTGGGACAAAAAGCTGTAGCCTAAAGCCACTTCAGAGAAATTATGGTGTCTCTGGTTATTTACTTTAATAACAATAAAGAAGGGTGAGAGTGGGTGCTGCACCAGCAGCAGCCCAAGTTTTGCCAGTGCTTGTCTGTCAGAGCCCAACTGGATGGTAGCAGCACAATGCAGAGTGAAATGCCCAAATCCTTTGGGGTCCCTGAGCCACGGGAAGCAAAGTGAACCCCTGCAAGTGCAGAACAGTGCCTGTGCTGTGATGAGCAGCTGTGAATGAGGACAGAGCTTTGAGCAAGCTCAGCTATGAGCACAGCTGGGTGTGCAGCTGCAGCACCAGGACTGACAGACACAGCTCTCCAGGCTGGAGCTGAGGGCTGGGAGAGGTCTCTCAGGAACAGCAGGGCACTGACAGGAGGGGAGGGCAGCACCAGTGCACTGAGGTGGATGCCTGAGTGGGGATTTCCCTCAGAGTGTGAAAAACCACTCCCCATCCATATCACCTTTGCAGCCTTGGTAACCAAGGAGCAGCAGCAATCGTGTTCTTGTGATGAAGAGTTCAAGGACAAGCTCCAGGCTGGCTCCTCCCAGTGCTTCCCAGCAAACTACGTTCTGTAGTTTGAGGGGCATAGGAGTTTTGTTTGATAGAAAATATAGCATTCACATTCTCTGAAAAATCCTTTCTCCCAGGATTGTTCTCCTGGGAAGCTGAGAAGCCTCAGAGAAAAGGAAAACAATTCTTATCTCATTTGCTTCTCCTGTGTTGTGCTCACATGTGAAATGTGTTTGGAGATTATTTACCCACAGGTGATTGTTTCTTTGGACTCTGGTGTGAGTTGTTGGACTATTGGCCAATCAGGGCCAAGCTGTGTTGAGACTCTGGAAAGAGTCACGAGTTTTCCCTATTAGCTTTTTAGCATTGAGTAAGTATCCTGTCTGCATTCTTTAGTATAGTAGTCTTTAATAAAATGTAGTATTATAAAGTAATAAATCAGCCTTCTGAGAACATGGAGTCAGATCCTTCATGCCTCCCTGTCACAAGGTCCCTGCAAATACTATAAGAAAACATAGTAGATCAGTTGTCATCTTCAGGAATGAGCAGAAAGATAGAGTCAAGGCATTCTTTTTCTGTTTTCTCTTAAGTTTGACATCCCGTATGCTTGCATCAGAAGAAGTGCAGCCAGCAAGGCCAGGGCAATGATTGTCCCCCTGCACTCAGCACTGGTGAGGCTGTACCTTGCGTGCTGTTTCCAGTTCTGTGCCCCTCACTTCAGAAAGGACACTGGGGTGCTGGAGTCCAGAAAGGAGCTACAGAGCTGGTGCAGGGTTCAGAAAAGATCTCTTATGAGGAGTAGATGAGGGAACTGGGGTTGTTTAGCCTGGAGAAAAGAAGAATCAAGGGAGACCTTACTCCCTACAGCTCCCTGAAAGGAGGCTGTGGCCAGGTGGAGGTCAGTCTCTGCTCTCAAGCAGCAAGAGACAGGGTGAGAGGAAATGGCCTTAAGTTGTGACAGAGGTTTAGTTTGGATATTAGGAAAACTTTCTTCACTGAAAGAGTTGCAAAGCATTGGAACAGACTGTCCAGGGCAGCAGTGGTGTCACCATCCCTGAAAGTGTTGAAAAAGTGTGTGGATGTGGCACTTGAGGACACTTTAATTGTAAACATGGTGGTGGTGCTGGGTTAATGGTTAGACTTGGACATCTTTTCCAATCTGACCATTTCTATGATTCTGTGATTTTGGTTTATGTTTCTCTTGCTGCAGAGGTTGTGTGCAGGTGCATGTGCTGATACTCATATGACAGGCAGCTGTGGCACTGGGCTGCCTGAATCCCCTACCTGCATTCTGTGCATCACTCTCAGTCTGTCTGCATCATTTTTGCTACCATGAGCTTTGTTTCACCTTTCCCTTCACTCATTCAAGGAGCTTTAGCCCCTTGGACTTTTGAAGGTGACTAGACTATTCTGTTAATCTTGAAAAATCAGAGACCGCTTCCACTGAACAGAGACCACTTCCAGTCAAAGAGAGCCAGGTATCAGAGGGGTCCTATCAGGGAGGAGCCACATTCAGCTTCCCCCCAGGACCCCAGGTGGCTGGGGGCTGCTGGCTGACCTGCACTGCTCAGGAGTGTCTTTAGCTCTTGCTCTGCACAGCCCATGTAGCTGGGCACAGGAGAGGGTTGTGCAGGAGTGGGCAGGCTCATAGTGCTCCCCAAAAGTCTCCAACAGAGCCATGCCAGCTCATGCCATTTATGAATCATCTGGGAGGCACTGATGTGAAGGGATGGCCCAAGGTGCTCCTCTCCCAAGCACTAATCGTGGGGTCCATGCTGAGTCAGAGGCAACATTCAAGGATCAGGATTCATGCCTGGCACCCAGCTGTACCTGCTGAAGGCAGCAGGCAGGCTGCTGCTCCTGCCCTGGGGACCAAGAGGGTGGTGACAGGCAAGTAAGGGAATGACAGAGATGCACCTGAATTGATGCCAGGGGGCTAGCTCGTGATGTGTGAGGGAAAGTTGTCTCAGTACACAAACAAAAACATCCTCCCTGTCAGATAACACAGGCCTGAGTTCAGATCACAGAGATGCTGCTCTGCTTTATTCAATTGGTCAAACAATTAACCTAATTTTTAATTTTCAAGACCACACAGGTCCCATAAGAATTTAAATATTGACAAAGAGCTAATACCATACATGAGGTTTAAATATAACCTCCTGGTATCTGTTAAGAAAATCAAGGAAATAAATAAATTGAGAATGCATGTGTTAGTGAAGAAATTTTTAGAAGACTTAAAACCAAAATGGTCTGTGAGCAAAATTAACCTGGAGTGTCTGATTCTGGACTGAGGAACTTCTAAAGAAAACAAATGCTTTGTTCTGTACAAAGTAAGCTCAGTTAGAGACAGGACCAGAGCAATTCTTGCTGTACAGCTCTCAGCCCTGTGCCTGTGCTGTGAGCATCCCTTTGGTTAACCAAGCATCAGCTGGGTGGGATCTGCTACCCAGCACTGCCAACACTCTGTGGTCAGTGGGATGTTTCCCATACTTGTTATTTCCTAAATCTCCAGCAGCAGGCTGGTCTGAGGGGGTCATAGCCCA